CCCGTTCCTGGGCAGCTGGGAGAGAGGCCTTTGTCCCAGGCACATGAAGAAGGACAGGGGAGAAGCCCCACAGGCGGAGGAGTCTTGTGCTCCCCGAGGCAACTGCAAGGAGCCCAGAGAGCCGAGGACAGCACGGCAAGATGTGAAAGCTGAGCGGGGAAGAAGGCCCGGAGCTGCCCAAAGCCCAGCAGTGGGTGTGCAGCAGAGCAGGCGATTGCAGCTGGGGAGGGGAGGACTGCACTGCGAGCTGAGCGGGAACAGCCCCTGCCCGGGAGGGAGGCCCCAGAGCCAGGCAATGCTCAGAATGCCATCGGCTGAGGGAGCCACAGCGGCTGCTGCTGGGGGAGGGAGAAACCCCAAGAGAGCAGTTCAGGCACTGCAGGAACAGTTCATTTCTCTGCCCTCCTTCTTCCTTTGCTCCCCCAAGACAGTGGTTTCTGGCAGCTCTGTTCTCTCGGGGCTGGCAGCTGGTTTCTGACTCTCTCAGCAAACAGGCAGGTTGGTCTCAGCATGAACCTCGGCTGTCTCGTCCTCACTGTCTGCCTGGGCCACCTCCTGGGTAAGTCCTGGCTTTTCAGCAGTGAGCTTTCTTCTCCCCCCAGGAAATCCTAAACAGCTCTATCATGCCCATGGGGGAAAAAAACCACATTGAATAGAGGGAAAATGCTGTGAATTTTCTCCTCATATTTGACTGTTTGCCTGTGTTTGCTCCAGAATCCTTTATCTTTTTCAAGGGGAAGGAAGGAAAGAGAAGAGAAACCTCAGAACCCTTCCCTGTCTCTTCTCTCTCCTTCAAACCATCTCCCTCTGCCTCTTTCTTCAGATTCACCTGCTATCCCCACAGGAGATCTCCTCTTTGCACTCCCACATTCCTCCTTTTTTGATGCCTATTGGCAGATCCTGTCAAATCTGCCCCAGGCACTTGAAAGCTCTCATTTCTCTGTCATCAATGGGCTGCCCCATTTTGCCTCCTGCCTGCCACAAGCTTCCAGTTTTCTCCACTTGGCAACACAGCCAGGGCTCCCTCTTTCCAAGCTCAGCATTCTGTGTACTCAGGGAGGGAAGAGCTGGTTCCAGCACACAAAGTTCAGGCGGGACAGGCTGTTCCCTGGTCCTCTGAGCAGGAGGAGCAAGAACATGGACACAGCCCAGCTCTCCTCAGATTCCTGCTGTGCTAAGAGCTCTGAGCCACTTTCCAAAATCCCTCTCACCTGACTGTCTCCAGGTCTCAGGACTTCCCTCCAGGGCAGGCAGCTTTCTGCACCAGGCTTTTGCATGCAGTTTGCTTTATCTTTCCATAGTATTGCCCTGGGGAGCTGCTGACCTTCACTTTCTTCCAGGCACCATGGGGCAGGTCGTTGTCACCCAGGAAGATGGAGAAGTCCTGGTGAAGCAGAAAGGCCTCTTCCAGACCACCTGTACATACCAGACCAGTTACTTTAATGGATTGTCGTGGTACCAGCAGAGGAAAGGACAAGCCCCACAGCTGCTCTCATTCCAGTCAGGGGCCGGCCAGAGGCAGAGCGGCCGTATCAGCACGGAGCTGAACACCACGGGGAAATCCAGTGTCCTGCAGGTGGAGGAAGTGGAGGTCTCTGACAGTGCCTTGTACCTCTGTGCTGTGCGAGCCACCCTGGTGCAGGGAGCTTCCTGGGCTGTGCAACAAGCCAGGGGAGGGAGGGGATGTGTCTGGGCAAGGCTGAGCTTGGGGAAAGGGACCCTCGGCTGCCCCCTGGCAGCGCTGCTTCCCCTGGACACCCAGAGATCTGCAGGCTGAGCCCCT